TTCACACCGATTTGTATTATATGAAAAACATATTTATTTACACTATGATTGGGTGTAAATAACGAAACTATAAAGTCAACGTGGGGACCAATGGGAAATATTCAAAACTGTCCTGAAGATACAAAGAAAGGTTCCGGCAATGAGGGTAAATGAAATGAAAGTGGTAGTCATTACTACTTACAGAGAGATTGCTTCTTACAAATATGTCCGCAGGCGTTTTGTGAATTTGCGACATGCGCCATTATATTTCTTCTAACTGCTTCAATTCTAAGATTCAGTACTCCCAGTTTAATTTGTATTAGTCTATTAAATCTGCAAAGAACAATAAACTGTCTTTCCTTCAGTGCTCATCATGGTGTCATTTGTTTAAAGAACGCATGCCTCTATGACTTATGATGAAAATGAACCCTTTCGACACTATGGATGAAACTGCCCTCCCAAGAATACCCGGTTTTGCCAATAAAGACAACTTATGTAGCAGTGATAATGAAAAAGATACCGATGTTCCTTTATCAGTTAAATCCAATTGCGGCGGGCATGTCCAGATTATGGTGAATACTACAGAGTAACATATGCCGAAGTTTTTGTTAAATATATTAGCAAGAGAAGTGTTAAAACTGGGCGTGTCAATCGATACGAAATTCCGTAGCGACATAGGACAGATTCATATGGATCTAATAATGTTATCGTTTTAGAGAGTTTTAAATCGCCACGTGCCAGTTCAATCAGCCTTAAACAATATTTACTGTCTTTATTTGTTACAAATTGTACTTGCATGTAGATTATAAATTATAACACAAGTTCTACGTCTAATTCAAATTTTTAAAATAGTTTAAATAATAGTATTCAGTCTCGTAATATTGCGTGTTGTTTCACTGCACTACACAAAATTTCTGTCATGGCTGTTCAAACACTTCTCTCTTCCTAACAAGGTGGGGAGGACCTCCAAAGTATCTCTATGGGCAGACTACAGGGTTTCAGTACATTCGAATAAACAAGAATAGCTGTATGCTACAAAGGTATTATGCAATAAATCGATACACAGAACTCATATCGATATTGAATTATTTTTCATAATGCCATATCGTATCCATTTATTGAGGTCAGATGATATTTCTAAATAATATACACATGTTAATTTATTTATTTTGCTTTGAAGTATATTTAAAAAACATGCACTTCGATTTCCGGTGTTCAGCAGCGCCGTTTATTGAAGCAGTTCCAAAGTTGCAGTCGTAATCTTCAGAGTAAACGGGTCGGGAAACGTGGCCCGATAAAAGAGGCTTGCCGTGTGAATCCCGAGATGTCTGACGACCACATTCTACAGGGTGAATCGTATAGAACCGGCCCGATGAATTTGCAAATAATTCCGCAGGTGATGCATATAACCGCTCACAATTACGACATAATAATCCGTGGGCCGTGCTGAGTCGAATGGTGTGCGCATGATCCGGCAAGTGGCAGCCCTTATGCTGCAAGGTCAAGGACAATCCCGAAACGTGTCTGCAGTGCGCAGGCGACAGTCATGAAGTTCACTGTTGAACAGCGAGTGTTTCTAATGCCTACGTGAAAATGGCGGACACTTTCGACACCTGCTCTGATCGCGGCACACAATCCAAGATAAGATATGTGTAAATTACTTTAATATCTGTAGGGTATATTTTATATTACACCTCATTTCGTCGGGCCGGTTCTATATGAATCACCCTGTACTTACATCTCCAGAATTCTAATTCCATAAATTCTTTTGGACGTGTGTTCCCTTTGACAATAAAGCAATATAAGGCTTAGTACAATAAGTGTTGGTGAATTAATTTTAAAACAAAATTCAGGCAACTCGGAGACACTCTGCACAATTATATTACCAGTTCTTACATACGTAAATATTAACTACACATAAAAAAGGAATAATGAATATACAATTGAATATACTGACTTAAAAATCGGCTGAATACAATACTGTATATGAAATATAGTATGGCTTTTTAATCTACTTGATTTATCGAAGGCTCAAAATCCGCAACCTTTACAATCCAGCAAGAAGCAACAGTATTTGCAATATTTGAAAAGGTAAGCAAGCATACAATTTTGGTCCGGAAGAACCGCCACCTAGACAGTTGGGGTGCCAGCTGGTAGCATCCAATGTGACGGCCAGAGGCCGATCTATAGCGGGGCAACTACAACGGGCAAGAAATGTTCTTATATTTAAAAAAAAAAATCGGTGTGGTGACATTGTACATACTTTCTCATAAACGACTGACCTTTTCTACGTTACCTTGGAGACGAAACTGACTGCTGCTAGTAGACCAGTGTTGGTTACTCAACACCGAACAATAATGAAATCCGTCCCACCGGTAATACTGGTTTCTCACATTCGATTGACCTTGACCACGTTACCTTCGAAAAGAAATCGACTGTTTTTCTGCAGACTACTGATTATATGTACAAGCTAGGACATGCACATTTTGAGTAAACATTGTGGCCCTAGTGCGCCTACCTCTCATGAAAAGGCTTCGCCTTTGTCTAGTGTAGTCACAGTACATATAGCACGTTGCTGGTCATTCTTCCTTTTGTACTACATACAAGTTCTCTGTCAGTGAAGGCTTTGCAAAGCCGATAAGTATAAGTACCTTACTTATCTTATGTTGCTGGCTTCCCATTGCGGCGGCCCGGGATCGATCCAGGGTCTGGTCAAGTTGGAGCTGTGGTGGACAAGGTGGCGCTGGGGCAGGTTTTCTCAGAGTACGTCGGTTTCCCCTGCCAATCTTCATTCCACCAATTGCTCCACAATCACCCTCACCTATCATCTGGGGCTGGTATAATAGGCCAGAAGTGGCCGCAGTACAAGGGACTTAGTCCCACCCCACTAGCAATAAAAAAATACCTATCTTATGCTATAACGGGAGCTTAATCACTTGAACGGTCATAAATTATTTCATAATCATGATATCTTCTCATATGTACTGTTTTTGTATTCAAGTGTGCTGGAATTGTAGGAGTCGGCAAAAACTCGAGACCAAATTTTTAACCATCACAATACTTACATGAGAAAGTAAAATTATAATCTCTGTACATTGTCAGTGTGCATCGGAGTATACGGTAAACAGTTATGTCATTTTGTGTGGAAAACGTTCTGGTCGCATGCTGTCTATATCTTCATTCTTAGTTAAACAACGCCCTTTCAAATGTAGCTATTACACGTTTATATATTAGAAACCGATCGTACAACTTTGCCTATTTCATGACATTATCCTCGTATCTGTATAGAGAGAGAGTGATGTAATGGCATCGGGTAATTCGGGCAACATTTCAGCCTGAAAACTTCCACATACAAGCCTCCAAACTACCTTGCTCCATCCGGTATTCTGTGGGCAATAGCCTGTACTTCTATTTTGACAAACTATTAATTCTGTTCTATCGGTATGCCTGAATATTTTAATTTGGATACTTCTATATATTTTGGGATTAATTTTTAAAGTGTTATAGTTAAATATTTATGAGAGGCAAAAATAATCCGGTCTGCTTGTAAAATACCCATCACACTATTAAGGCGAAGAGAAAAGTTCGCGGAGACGCCCTCTGTCCGTCACATGTCTGAAAACTGTCATGTAGGAACCCATGGGAGAGGAAAATATGAAAATAAAGCCCTCAACTAATTAATGAGGTCACCCACCCAAGTACTGACCACGACCAGTGTTGCTTAACGAAGGAGAATCGCTATGTTCAACATGGCGTACTCGTCGGATAAGTCACGAGACTATTGCTTCTTGACTACAATTCGGCATTGTAATGTCCCGAGACCAGAGAGGTAAAGGGGATTTTAAGCCTTCAGAGATGCTTACAATATAATAAATGGTGTACATTAAAATATGGAATGTAGTCGGATATATACATCCGTTAAAGTACATAACTGGCTCGTGAAATGGCGGCACATCACCATTCCAATGTCACGGGCCCATGCGGCTGGTTCAGTTCCATCCATCATCTGACTCTAGGCTAATGAGAATGCAGTGAAAACTGAATATTCAATTTGCTATCTTCTTTTCTTTCGTTTCATTTCAATTCAGTCACACGGTAAGCCACGCTTCTTATTATGCCGCAACCATTAATCTTGCGTCAGTACAGTCTGTTCCTTTGACTTGGTGCCACATTACAGACATCAGAAGGGACGATTAACAAGGATTCGGAACTACAAGCCTCAGACAGTGATGCCCGAAGCGTAGAATTGTTATGAATCAATTACGAATATATTTTTAAAAATATATTCTGAACAAACCAATAATTGTCGACCACAAAAGCTACATTATTACTGTCAATGCAAATGCAGATTACCTCAACTGGTGGTCATGAAAATACCCGGATAATAAACGAACTTGTTACAAATTTCTTTTAAGGTTTCTTGACTAAAAAACGAGAGTTTCAAGCAGCAAGCCCATTCGATAAGTGCACGAGATAGATATGACATCAGCCGCAAGACACAGATCTGGGAGGCCACGGTTTAGGTATTCAAGGCCAATTTATGATCTAGAAACTGTTCACATCTCATTAGAAGCTTCTCTCGCGGGATCTTCTTAATCTAATTAATTTAACGAATGTATTTAGACAAAACTAAATTTAACATTCGTATTAACATAATATATGAACACTGAAAAATCTTTTTTTTTTTTTTTTTGCTTTTGCTTTCTAGCAAAATATGTTGCAGAACATCTAATTTATTTGTACATTCTTACATATCGAAATTGCGCGCATTGCTAAGACATGTCACTGTTCTGTGACAAACTTATGGTAAGTAACGGGCCGTGAAGGCCCATGGGGTTGGGAGACGTCGAGGCGCCTACATCTTCTAGACAATCGGCTCACAGACGTCTGTGAGATTGTCAGCCTTACGCGCCGGCCGCCCTTTTCCCCCAGGAAGATTTCTGGTACTCATTTGTTTTAGAGGCTGTGTCGACCTCAGGGCCATAGTGCGGCTGGATGGATTAGGCCAATTGAAAAAATCCGATGATCTCATCGGGAATCGAACCCGCCACCTTCCGGCTTGTAACACAGTGCCTCAACCAATTACGCTACTGGGTGCCCCCAAACGTACGTTAGATCTACCAACTATGTAAACTCGTCTGACCCTTTCACAGCTACTGACAAGGAAGTCAGTCAGCAAAACGGCTACCCTTTTGTGATATTCATTTAGATATTCCCCGCCATCTGTTGGAGCTGTTTTTGAACTATGTGCTAACATGATAGGTCTCGGTGTATCGCAAAAATGACGATTTACTGAGTTTTGACAGCTAGACGTTACGATTTCAGTAGATGGTGTTCGTTTCACATTAATTTTTCAGACATACAGATTATGTACAGGGCTCGGTACAGATCCACAGACTACAGACAAGCAGATATTGTGAAGTCATCCGATTCTGAGGAATCAGATGGGGCTACAGATTCACAGAAGACTTCATATTGTACATCTGGCTCAGATTAAGGGCACGGTCAGAGGCCACAAACTCACAGACTACTAAGAGGGGGGATTCCTATATTTCTACGAATCCTCAGGAATTTGGATGCTATATAATAACAGATTCCGGAGAGAATTGGATGCCAGAGATCCACAAATCCAGTCGAGACTGGAACAGTTACAGATTCACAGACTCAGAAGAAAAGACAAATGCGAGAAATCACAGACTCCGGAAACATCTGGATATTGCAGATCTAGAGATTTCGTGGAGACTTGAATTCTACAGAGATTCACAGATTCCATAGATAGTTGCATAACATAGGTATAGTTTACAGAGTTAATTAATTGTGCGTCATATGCTGATGGAGAGAGTTTCTGAGGTTCTGGAGAAGCCTGCATCCGATTATGTGGACTGCTGGTATAGTGACAGCACTTCTTAGGTTCAGACCAGGCTTCAATTGGCACCGCAGCGTTGCCACGTGACAGAGGGCGTGAACAGCTTGCAATCTGCAATACAAAAGAAATACTCTTCTGAAACATACAGGATTTATTCTTTTAATTTCGAGAAGAAAACACCATTGATGAGATACTTTTAAACTCTTCCAAGTGTTATCCATGGACCTCACCTTCATGACCACTGACCTAACCAACTAACTCTCCGATGGCGGAAACACAAGATTCAACACCGCTAATAACAAGACGTACAATTGGACACGATTATGAGTCAATTCTGTCCACGTCCAATCACAACAACCTATAGATTCTGATGATAGTGTATAACACTCGGGATTGGTGAGCTTTCGGTCTTTGTCCATCGTCCGGTATTCTAAAGAGGACACCGTTTCGGAAATTGGATCTGTTTCTGTCCCCAGCGTGAGGGGTGGGAAGGACTGAAGTTAACTCTTGCTAACGGACCCAGCAGAGTAGGTGTCTCCCGCCCTATCGGCTTAGGACCATGGACAAAGTCCAAAAACCCAGTAATCACAGCAATCTATGTTCTTGTGCTCAACCTTAATGCCATTCTCGCATCTCCTTCTTAGTCTCTCAAGTAGCCGTTGCTTACTTAATGACGTGGCCAGTAACTCTGGTTATAGGCCTGACAGGACGACAGGAGAGGGTGCGGAAGGAAGCAGTCATGGTCTGTTTCAAGTCCCGTCCCCTCATCCTCTCCGAGAGGCAGAGGAAAATCAAGAAAATGCACTCAGGATTGCCGGTATCCTTGCAGAGTTTTGAACACGCAACATCCCAAATAAGAATAAGGACTGTCACATGCTTGCGATATTCGGTAAGTAGCATGTAACAGGTATTCCTACTAAAATTTTATATGCATTTCTTGTCTCCCCGTAAGATAAACATATACAGTCCATGGCAAACTCCTAGATTTCACTACTCTGCCAACAGCAGATGACCTGCATAAGTAACGAGGTTTCACAATACGTAAATTGCCAAATTAGCTTAATCTCTGTTAGATGCAAATATTACCTTGAGTCTTCTGAATTCAGACACTAGAAATGTGTGGTCATCCCTCATTACACGGGATCAAGTTTCACAAAAATACAAAACGTGAAAAAGTGATAGTTTTATATACATATAGCATATACACGTTATTAAAGAAAACGTTTTTTTTTTTCTGTGGCGCTACATCCCCAATTTTGGGCCTAGGCCTACCTCCATGAAACTCTCCGTTTCACTTCGGTTTACTAGATCTTACACATTCGGTAGGACTCCTTGGGCGAGTGATAAGCTCGTCGCAAGGCCTCTACCTGCAGACAAACACAGAAAAGCGCACACAAACATCCATGCCCTGAGTGGGATTCGAACCCACTATCCTGGCTTCCAAGCGAGCGAAGACAGTGCATGCCTTAGACCGCTCGGCTACCGTGACCAGCAAAGAAAACGCTTACTATTCACTATTTCGTAAGGTAATTTACTTAACTCTCATGATATTTCCGATTTATGATTCATAATCATTAAACTATGTGCACCAGAAAAGACGTAATTAAATAACTCGAGATTCAATCAATCACAAGGTCAGAGAGTTGCCTGGAAGTAAAAATGTGCATTTCTTTAGTTTTCAGATTCAATGAAGATACTCTCCTTGACGTGTTGTAGGGAAAATCATAGTCAACATGCACACATATTCCAGTTCCTGTCCATTGTCTGGAACCGAACTACATGGCTCTAATATCCGTGACAGTTTGAGTGCCGGAACCAGATTACTTCCGTGGGCAACACGCGAGATGTCTGACTGCACGGAACGAGGTAGAGGCGATGTTTGAAGCCGGAAGAACAAGGCCTGGACCTTGGGAGGGGCAACTGGGTGGACAGCTGCCCAGCTGCACCCTTGACAGCATCACAGACATTAACCTATTGCTTTCGTGTTAAGTCTTCTTTAAGAATTCCTGACGAACTCATTCCTAGCACAGGAATTCGACAGTCTGACAAGAACAGCGGAAAGTTTCCAGATAAGTTTACTGCTATTTTCAGGCACTGGTCGTGGAGGTTCGCTTTTTACCTGCCACTCGCAGAAGCACAATTTCTTTACCCGAGATACTGCTGCTTTCCTTATCAATATTACAACATACAGTAGCTAAAACTTTAAAGAAGGAATAACACGCAAGTACAACATTCAATATTACTCACTGTCTGGTAATCGAAGACTGTATTTGGTGAAGTAAAGGTCTCCTCTGCTTTCCTTGGTAAGAATGAAAAATAATAAAACACACTGTTCCAAATTCTTTGTATTGGGGCTACGGTGAATGGTACTTTACCACACAATTCTAGAAGACAGGAGGGGTCTGACTACTGTTGTTGACAGCCGTGTGACAGCGGGCACAGTTACACGAGATGTCCTCGCCCAAGAGACTTCACCGGCTGACGTTGGAGGCTTGTATTCTGGAGGCATCCGGTCCAAAGTTTCGGCCTGATGTTTCCGCGGTTTCATCAGTCTTTCGACGAGACAGTCGTGTGATAGACATAAGCGGAAATGGCCTAAACACTCATGACTAATTTATTTCCTATTATTTTTTTCGGCATGGAATAAATAAAGTTTAAAATCAAAATATCTCTGTAACATCTCGTGTTTATAAAGTATGATGACATGTAAGTGAATAAAAATTAAGTCACCACTTTAAGTTTCGCTTTGAGACGCAAGGGGTATGTGAAGCTTCACTAAGAACAACGGATACGTGAAGTTTCACTTGGAGATCAAAAGGTGCAGGAAGTTCCATTCCGGGACCAAGGGGTATTTCGAAAAAAGATGATTAAGAATCCCATTTTAGGAAAATTCCGCCAATTCCCGAATCTCATTCGTCATCAACTTCTCTCCTCATTCTAAGGTATGAGGCGCCCCTCAGTAGAAACGGAGCAGTTAAATAACCGTAGATTCAATCATCTGTACACTGTAAGCTCCCTTCACATCCAAGAGGCATTGAGGAGTACAGTTTTCATTTTAGCACCAGGCTTACAGACAGCTGATTAGCAAACCGACCAACGCAGTAACTAACTTACCATTTACACTAACTAGCTGACTACATTACTGATTAAGTGCTTATGACAAACAAATTAATTAACGGGCGAACTCACTAAGTAAGCATTTAACTGAATGAATAAGTAGCTACTAACTAACTCAATGCTTGTAGAAAACGAAGGCTCAACAATGCCAATACCGGAATCCACCGCTGTACACATGCCGTTAGCATAATAAACTCTAGTCTGTTTTATGCTACAATCTTTGTACAAGAAAGTTTATTAGAAATAACACATAACGGAGAGATTAAGCCTTTCCTTTCACGTGTTATATCTCGGAAAGGATTTTGATTAAAATTGATAAAGATCTACATGAACAGAACAAACAAATATAAGTTCAGTTCATACCGCTCCACACTAACTCCTACTTTACATGAAGCTCGGATTCCTCAAAATGCGCTTCAATGTACAAAGAAGTGTCACAGAACGCAAAAACGTGCATGCTAGCTCGGTAAGATATAATCGTACAACTGTCATTTGATAATTTTCCCATGAAGTGACTAGAGATCCCATGGTGTGAGCCTTTGATACTGTCACTTCTGAAACAACAGATCTGTGTGTTTAATAATAGCATTAACAGTAAATGAACTTGAGACAAATGGAATACGCGGAAAGGCAAAGAATGAGTCTGGTTGGCGTGCACATGTACACTCTTGTTTTCCATTAGAGTAAGTACGTTACCAAGTATCATGCACTAATGACAATCTTGTCTCCGCATGCGGTCCGTCATTGAACTTGATTGTTTCTGGCGGAGCTGATGGCACTTGTATTCCAAGGACTACAAGTCATCTTCAGAAATTGGAAACAATACAATGTCCCTCTAGTGTAATAAATTTGAAACAATTTAAGTTGAGTTTATATAACCGTAGTTCCTGTTGATTATTTAATAGCGTTTCGCAGTTTCACACAAGGCCATTATCCTGTTGTTGACCTTACGAAAGTCAAAATAAGAATATTCACAGTTGTGGAACAGAAATCGGAGAGGAAATTGAAAGAAAGCGTATATACGTAAAGATACTTTAATCTGCTTCAAGTCTGAGAGTTGTGATTAGCCCAAACAGGTTCTGTGTTCTGATACTGAAATACAGTTATATCTTCACATCGCCCTCCGGCAGACTGGATGAGCCAAAACAACAGACTTATCTGTATGTATTCTTCTTTGTTAAATTTCGGACAGATTAATTACAGGTAAACCACAGTAACCGACCATAAAGGCGCCTGCTGTTCTTCATACAAACGAACGACCATTGTCAGCATAAGAGGAGTGTGAATTTATGATTAACTTATACACTTGTCGCTATTTTCTTTGAAATGACAGAAGAGTGGAAAAGTGTATTCAATTCTGAATTAGACCCCACTATATCTTCGAAATTCATTCTCCATTCATCACCGTGTTCATGTTAATAACTGCACACACAAATTAATTTCCTCAAAGTCAATCGTATTACAGACACCACCTTGCATAACAAGATTTCTTTCAACTTAACAACAAGGTAAAGCTGTCCCTGTGCTTAACTAATTAAGCACTACGCCATGAAGGCGTATTGGGGAGTGGGTGTATAGGCCCACATTTTCTTCACCTCGGCACTAGTTGGAGGTGGGTGGTCAGCTTCACGCCCCTGCCGCCTTACTCGCGGGAAAAGAGGCCGCACTACCCACTGGATAGGAGGTTGGGTGGACCCCAGAGACGGTCTGGATGACGTGGAGAACAGAAAATTCTTGACCATACCGGGACTCGAACTCCGCCCCCTCTGTCGTCCAGCCCGTAGCCAGTCGCAATACCGACTGAGCTATCCCTTCTCACATATGCGGGAAGATACAAACATATACATTTCGAAAGCGAGCTTCTCACTCTCACATACGTCTTCATAAGAAACTGTTGGTGAATAAGGAGACAGGATTCCAAAGAGATTAATCTCTTATCTCTGACATGCAGGTGCCTAACTTACACAGACTCGGAACTGCTATGTAGGCCTCTA